TAAACTGCGGAAGATCCGACAGTAGCGTGGAATCTCTTAAACTGACCAAGCCCTCTCAGTCAAACTACCCGGCAGACGACTAGTCTTCACCAGGATAGAAAGCTGAAGCAATAAGCACAGAACTCCACTACTGGAATTGGATTCCAGTACGAAGCAGTAAACTGGCTAACTCTCGTATAGCCAATCTCCTACTACCGAATGATGAAGCTCTAACAACCTAATCAGATTCTATCTATCTCAGGTTGCAGCAGAAATCAAGAAAAGCTGATCAGACTTCAATCAATTCAATAAAACATGCATCATTCGATTAAAACCAAACAGTATAATCATCCCAAGTCATTACAATCAAATCCCTAACACATGGAACTAGGGTTCTTCATACCCAAGTGAGAGAAGGGTTCTACTCCATAGAGAGAGAGAGGAAAACAGAATACAAAGCAGTCATACTCATAACAATGGGAAGAATCTGCTCTGGGATGATGATTTCCACTCCTATGAGGATCTCCAAGCTCGATTTGATGAAACCCAGCTCCAAGATTGCTTCTAGGATGTGTTCTTCGCACTTTCTCTCTCTAGGGCTCTGTTTTTGCTCCAGAAAATTGATCCTCTCACTTGTGGCTCGGAATTGGGTAAAAACCAAGATTTCCCGACTCACACGGGCAGGCCACACGGCCGTGTGGCTTACCCAGTTGCCCGTGTGGCTTCCAAAACGCTGCGTCTCAATTAATCGAACTTCAGGCTTCCCACAAGGCCAGGGTCACACGACCGTGTGGAAATTCCACCATGCCCGTGTTTGCTCTCGGCACAAACCACACGGCCACAAGGGTGACTTGCACGGCCGTGTGGGTTCCAGGAATACCCGTGTGGCTTCCTCAGCGCCTCGCCACGCGTCCGATCTTCGTCCAATCGTCCCCAAACTCGCTCCCAAGCCTCCACTCACGTACTAGGACCTGAAATATCACAAACAAGCACAACCTAGCGTGAAATCGGCCTAAAACACGAGAAACCACATCTCAAACGGTGTAAGAATAGGGGTAAAAACATATGTAATTAACGGTCTATCAGATATACAATCGAGGATCGTATATCTCGGCACCCATTTATAAAAAAAGTAACGAAATCAGAGATTGTTTTGATAAAAAAATCACAAAATCAAATTGTTACGATTAAAAATAAGAACACAAAAAAAACTACACGAAGAGCCTCTTCGTCCATTTTTTGGCAGAAGCCGGACAGAGGTTCGACGGGTTCAGGTTTGTAAGGGACGGGACCTTAGCGGGACGGGGGCTTTAGGGTCAAACTCTAGTAATTCTTTATGATGTGGAAGATCGAATTTAACCGTAACCACAGAGCATACTTAGAACGAGACTAGAGCGGATAAATTGAGGGAGAAAGAAGAATAAGTTGAGGTGTGATTTGTAAGTGGGGGGGGGGGGGGGGGGGGGGGGGGAAGGGATCTGGCGGATTTAATTTCTGGACGCCTTCTCCGCGTTTGTGGAACGTGGTGAATACACCGTTCAAGTCAAAGGCGGTGATGGGGGCGACGTGGACCAGCTGTGAGGCGTCGGATCTGGGAAGAAAACTACGATCCGCGCCTCACCGCATCTGACGACCACGGTGAAAGGAAATGTGACGCGGATCGTGGCAAACTACAGCGGGGAAGATTCACCACTTTTAATTAAAACGGTGAAGTATTCACCGTTTTGAAGAAAGACGGTGAATACTTCACCGTTTTGATCTAAAGCGGTGAATACTTCACCATTTTTGACAAACGCGGTGATAGCCTTCACTGCGTTTGTCAAAAACAGTGAATGCCAAACATGTGTAGTTTTGGAATTTTTTTTATAACTTATGTACTTTGGGAATTTTTTTAAGAACATGTGTACTTTGGGATTTTTTCCCTGATTCATCTTATCACTGGCTACAGAACTTCTACTCCCTGGGGGTTTATTTATAGGCCTCTGCACCAGGGTTTCTATTAGGGAAAGTTGATCACCACGTATGGATTCTAGGAGAATGTGGGCTTGATCTGGACACCCTCCAAAACAGTGGACAAGGTGTCGTTTTAGGATATGGTCGACTATTTCCAACACTATGTTGTAAACTTGCTCCGATCTCAAATTCAAACTCCCAGTAGCCAGGTCTTGATTTTTCCCTACTCGCAACGTGGTTCACTTAGATGCTATGTCCTCAAAACAAATGAAAAACTAACAAAAGTGCATAAAAAATTAATTATAGAGCTACTAAAACATAAATTGTTAAGGAAATCCAAACTGTTATGATGAAATTATGTGACTTAAGTGTAACAACTTCCTAAAGCGTAGTATAGCGGGTTTGGGTTTTAATGTCAACCCGGGTCCTAGATGTGATGACTACTCAGTGAATTCTTATTATCTAGCGGTAAAACTTAAGTGCAGGTTCAAACAAAAAAAAAACACAAAGCAAGTTAAACGGTTGTTTCAAGTCGAGAGAGGTCACTGACTCACTACGACACAACACCTAACAATGGCCAAGTGTAACCAATGGAAGGGACTGCAGTATAGTGGCTCAAGCGATAAATATCGAATCCACGGGTCTCTAGAGTTACTATTACTCAGCTTCAGTTTATTATTTAGCAAACCAGATTAATAAGGAAGAACTAAAACTACTCTAGCAAACTACAGTTAAAGTTAATCTAATTACAGGTTGGGAACTCACTTAGGTATGATTCCCCCTAGCCACTAGCCAGACTAACGATTGATGATTTCTAACTTGTTTCACTTTCATTCACAATGCGGAGAATCCTTGACTAGACCTTGAGTCTCGACTAAAGGAACAAGGCCCTCTTGAGTCAATTGCCTAGAGGGACGTATCCTTCTCTAGAACAACTGATCAAGGCGTTCTGAACTAGACTCCCTCTATCGAAAGAGGTTCTCAATAGATACAAAGCAGTGAATCAACCCTCGACTAAAGCAATCGATCCACTACTATCAATCTATGGTGCTCTATTGACCTAATCAGGTATTCCCTCTCATAGGAGCAAAGCAGAATCAATAATCTCGACTAAAGCAGAATTGAATCATGAAAACATGCATAGATTGAATATGAACTCAAGATTATCAAGTCAGAGTACTCATACAATCATCCAATCAAACAAACATAGCTAGGGTTCCTCAAAACCTAAGTGAAGGGAAGTTACTCCATAGAGAAGATAGAGATTGCAGTAAGAATCTTCAGATGATCAGTCTTCAAGTCCGGGCTTGTTCCTCGAGCTTCCAAGGTGAAGAAATCCTCCAATTCCACTCTTAGAATGCCCTCAGATCGCCCTTTCTCTCTTTGGTTCGTCCCTTGGGTGTTTGGGATCCAAAACCCAGCTCTCCCTCTCCTTTGGCTCGAATTTGCGTTAAAAAACCTGATTCTGGGCAAAACACGGTCGAGGGCACGGCCGTGCTTTGCTTTTGACCGCCCGTGTTTTGCCCCGTGTTAAAAACACGCCCGCACGCGTCGGTCAAAACACGGTCGTGCCTAAATATGGGCACGGCCGTGTTTTGATTTAGGCGCGCCCGTGTCTTTACTGCCGAACCTGTTCCCCTATATTCAATGCTTCGTTTCTCCCTCGTCCGGACTCCGAATCAGTCGCCGTTTGATCCCAGACGCTTGTAGTCTCGTCCTCTTTCTTTTAATAACAAGCTTGCATGATTATTTGTCCATAAAGTGAGGTAGAAATCCATTCTTCTTCAGGTCATGCCCGAGTTTCTTCTCCCGAATCGCCAATTGATCTCTGATTGACTTGAAACTTGCGCCTATGCTTCATTTTATGTGCTAGGACCTGAAATGTGACAAAGGAACACAACCTAGCATAAAATAGGCCAAAGACGCGATAATTAAAGCTCAAACGATCAAGAAACAAAGGGGAAAACATGTGCAAATATCGAGTCATCAAATCCCCCCACACTTAACCGTTTGTTTGTCCCCAAGCAAACCTAACTCAAACCAATGCAGCTCTCCAGACCTCTATAGCAACATGCACCCTCGATCCTTGATAGAGGATTTTCTAGATCATTTAGCAGCTTACGAGGTCAACCGACGCACAAGTCATCTCATACCTTCTTCGGCAAGAACGCTAGTCTCGAGTCGGCATCATGGCAAATAGTGATCAGAGGAAAAATGAATCGTGGACGAAGAGACTCTCAAAAACAAAAGATCATGGACTCACATTTTTCAAGGTGCTCTTATTTTCTTTTTGAAGACGGTTGGAATCCCCTTTTTTTCCTTTTCTTTTGTTCTCTTTTTTTTTTCTTTCTTTTTCAAGGGTTCCAACCCGATTTTTAGAAAACGGGGCTCCCACCTAGCAAAGGTTTTTCGGGAACCCGGCTCTTACCGGCCATGCCGGGAGCAAATGTCTCGAGCCTCGTGCGGAGAAAAGGAATGTAAGAGGGCTGGAGGTAGTAGGTGAAAATTGGGAACGAATTCCCGTCTCCCCTTACACACTTTCGCCCTATTCGCACGGGAGACGTTATTTTAAAGCACATTATCGAGCACCTTTTATTTCAAAACATGATACAGGAGTCCATGACAGGCATAGAGTCCACAACACCACACAATTCAAGGGTCCTAAGATCACTAATTCACACAATCAACCAACACAATATGAAGAAGAAATGAGACTTCTTAAATGCGTCAACATCCTCCATAGTGCTACACTACCTCCCTAGGTTGCATATTACTATAAAGACTGTCAATTCAAAGCATACTGAGCAGGCAATTGCAAGGAACACGTACTTGGAGCCCTCAAATCGAAATTTGGACAGTGGACTAGGCTCCAAGCACACAAACAGCCAAACATTCACACGCATTCATAATCGAACATCCCCCCACACTTAAGCACGACATTGTCCTCAATGGAGGAAAGATAAGGAGGGTAGAACGAAGTTACCAGATCCAGGGTGAATGATGGTGGACGGGGCAGGCGGTGTATTCCCGGAGGAGAGAGTGGTCAGAACACAAACACAACACAGAATCTCACAAAGGTTGAGTTATTGACTCTAAAATCAAATAAAAAAAACTGACTCAACCGAGGAGAAAAAGAGAAAGAAATGCAAACCGACTGGTTGGGTTGCCTCCCAACAAGCGCTTCTTTCACGTCATGAGCCGGACGATGGCTCCTAAGTTTCGGTCCATCCCAAAACCTCCTTGAAGTTGAGGTTCTCGTCGATGAGGTGGAGTCTCAAGTCACGAGCATGTGGTGTGGCAGGTGATGAAGGCTCATGTACTTGATGCAGATGAAGTCTCCACCCTCGAGACCTCTTCTTCTCTCCTCTCCTCTCATTGCCCCAAACTAGATATGACAACATCGATTGACCACCATCGCGTCCACCAAGAGGGACCAATGTCGACGTGACCTTGGTATGGCAAAGAGACACTGCAAATGGATCCTTGCTAAGTAGTTCCTCAAAGTTTGGTGGAGATATCAAATGTAACTCATGGCCGGTGCAAGCCTCTTCCACCTCAACTTCGTCCTCAGCCTGGATGCCAATTGCTTCTTCAACCTCCCTTCTTCATGTGTTATCACCCCTGGGAAATGATCAAGAACTCCTCCAGCTTCACTTTCGTCATCCTCCACAACTTCTTTCTGCACCCTTTCTTGCTCTTCTTCTTCTAGCACGGATTGGAGAGCAAGTTGCCAAGCAATTTCTTTCATGAGATCTTCTTGCATCTCCTTACTCATGCCCGCCTCTGCAAAGCTCAGTTTGGGGTGTGGGAAGGTGTGGTCGGCTACGACATGACACTCCTGATCATGATCATCACGGGAGCTCTCCGTGACAACTTCGGTGTGCTCCACAATGTCCTTGTAGCCTTCTTCTTCCTCCTCCTCTTCTTGTATAGTAGCAGAAGGGTGATCTGGAGCAGGTTGTGCCAAAGATCGCTCAAGATCATCGACACTCTTCTTAAGGCTCAGGAGGATCTCCTCTGTTTCACGAAAGGCCTGGACACAATGATCCATCCTGGAACATGATCTCTCCATGAGAAGCCTCAATTCATAGTGTGGATCTGGCTGTGGAGTGTAGCATGGCTCTGCAGAATGGCCCGTGAAGGCCGCCATGGGTAATTCCAGCTCCAATGGCCCCTCTGGTTGTGGGAGAAATTCTTCTTAGTAATGAGGTTGTTCTTGATATGCCCAGGGGTCCGGTTGTTCTTCGTAGTAAGGGGGTTGGTACTGGAACCCGAATCCATAGTCTTCTCCTCCTTGATTGCTCTAGGGAGTCTCGGGGTAATACCACTTGGGTGGTGGTGGATACCCCCAATTGTTGGAGAAGCCATGAGGATCCATGATTCAGATATGCACCAACAAAAACAAAAACACCCAAGTGAAAAGCAAGGGTGGAAAAGAAAAGAAAAACGCTAAAGTAACAAACTTGTGCCTTTCCTAATACTCTAGAAAGTCCCCGGCAACGGCGCCAAAAACTTGACTCGCTACGACACAACACCTAACAATGGCCAGGTGTAACCAATGGAAGGGACTGCAGTATAGTGGCTCAAGCGATAAATATCGAATCCACGGGTCTCTAGAGTTACTATTACTCAGCTTCAGTTTATTATTTAGCAAACCAGATTAATAAGGAAGAACTAAAACTACTCTAGCAAACTACAGTTAAAGTTAATCTAATTACAGGTTGGGAACTCACTTAGGTATGATTCCCCCTAGCCACTAGCCAGACTAACGATTGATGATTTATAACTTGTTTCACTTTCATTCACAATGCGGAGAATCCTTGAATAGACCTTGAGTCTCGACTAAAGGAACAAGGCCCTCTTGAGTCAATTGCCTAGAGGGACGTATCCTTCTCTAGAACAACTGATCAAGGCGTTCTGAACTAGACTCCCTCTATCGAAAGAGGTTCTCAATAGATACAAAGTAGTGAATCAACCCTCGACTAAAGCAATCGATCCACTACTATCAATCTGTGGTGCTCTATTGACCTAATCAGGTATTCCCTCTCATAGGATCAAAGCAGAATCAATAATCTCGACTAAAGCAGAATTGAATCATGAAAACATGCATAGATTGAATATGAACTCAAGATTATCAAGTCAGAGTACTCATACAATCATCCAATCAAACAAACATAGCTAGGGTTCCTCAAAACCTAAGTGAAGGGAAGTTACTCCATAGAGAAGATAGAGATTGCAGTAAGAATCTTCAGATGATCAGTCTTCAAGTCCGGGCTTGTTCCTCGAGCTTCCAAGGAGAAGAAATCCTCCAATTCCACTCTTAGAATGCCCTTAGATCGCCCTTTCTCTCATTGGTTCGTCCCTTGGGTGTTTGGGATCCAAAACCCAGCTCTCCCTCTCCTTTGGCTCGAATTTGCGTTAAAAAACCTGATTCTGGGCAAAACACGGTCGAGGGCACGGCCGTGCTTTGCTTTTGACCGCCCGTGTTTTGCCCCGTGTTAAAAACACACCCGCACGCGTCGGCCAAAACACGGTCGTGCCTAAATATGGGCACGGCCGTGTTTTGATTTAGGCGCGCCCGTGTTTTTACTGCCGAACCTGTTCCCCTATATTCAATGCTTCGTTTCTCCCTCGTCCGGACTGCGAATCAGTCGCCGTTTGATCCCAGACGCTCGTAGTCTCGTCCTCTTTCTTTTAATGACAAGCTTGCATGATTATTTGTCCATAAAGTGAGATAGAAATCCATTCTTCTTCAGGTCATGCCCGAGTTTCTTCTCCCGAATCGCCAATTGATCTCTGATTGACTTGAAACTTGCGCCTATGCTTCACTTTATGTGCTAGGACCTGAAATGTGACAAAGGAACACAACCTAGCATAAAATAGGCCAAAGACGCGATAATTAAAGCTCAAACGATCAAGAAACAAAGGGGAAAACATGTGCAAATATCGAGTCATCAGTCACCCGGATATGGTTCCCCCTAGACTGCAGTTAAGCCGGATTGCAATTACCAAGTTCAATTTCTATGATATTTATACTGTGGAAGGTTCTTAAACAGTATGAAGTCTCGACTAAAGGTCTCCAGACCCTCTCAATCTGAGTCTCTAGCGGGCGACTAACCTCCACCGGAGTAAACAGATTGAGGCCCTAACGAACAAAACCTCCACTACCGGAGTAAATTCGGTACAGAACAGTGAATTGGCTCCTCGACTAAAGTCGCCAATTCACCACCTTCAATTAAGGGTGCTCTATTAACCTAGGCAAATATTCTCTTTCTAGGTTAAAGCAGAAACAACAGGAATTTGATCAGGATTCATGCCATTCAATCATTCAAACCTCAATTGAATATAATCAAATCATAGAATCTGTACTTGGGTTCATACAATCAAACCTAACATACAAATCTAGGGTTCTCCATACCCAGATGAATGGGAGAACTACTCCATGGAGAAAGAAGCAAAAGGAGATTCAGATGCGGAAACCATACTGTGAAGGATGGATTTCTGCTTCTGGTTGTCGGTCAGCACTTATCCAAGCTCAAGTTGGGCTCCAATGGTGATGAAGGTCAAGCTAGGGCACTTGGGAACTCTTGTTCGTCGCTTTCTCTCTCTAGGAATCGCTCTGTCTCTCTAAAACTCGAATCCCTTTCACTTGTGGCTGGAAATTGGCTTAAAACCAGGAAATCCCGACTCACACGGCCATGTCACATGGTCGTGTGACTCCCCCAGCTGCCCGTGTGGCTTTGCAAAACACGGCGTTTCGTTAAGTAACTTCAAACAGCTCAAGAATAGGGGTAAAAACATGTATAATAAATGGTCTATCAAACTCCCCCACACTTAACCGTTTGCTTGTCCCCAAGCAAACCATGTCAGACACAAGGTAAGCTCAAAACCTTTCAATCAAGCAGGCTTTAGGGCATATCATATCGCCACAAAACACGTGGATCATACTGACTTTCGATCATTAACACATGGGCAACTCCAAAGACAACCTAGACAACCACCACAGATGACATTCGAATGCAGTAAAGTCGAGCAAAGGAAGAGTTCCCTTCTGTTCACCAACCAACATAGACTTGACCCAACCACTTATTCAAAACAGTCACTTCATGCATAAAGTTCAAGATATCAGAATTAAGACCGAGCAATCTAGGTCCTCACTGGGATAAAAAGTATAGAGAATATGAGAAAATGAATCGCTCACTCTCGACCAGTGGGGTCAGGACAATTTGATGCGAAAATGCGCATGCTTATACTCTCAATCCCTAACGTCTCTTCACCATGAAGGCAGCCTCTAAATGCTAGAGTTCACATATGAGGTGTCACCACTAACTAATCCGGAGGTCTTAGACATAGGTTCAGATGACTGGCTAGGGTCTTGGACATGGGGAAAAGGCCTTTTAGGTGGTGGAAGCATTCATAGCACAAGGCTCCACATTTCCAAACCCAACAAACTCACAATCAATCAGACCAGTAACTTTCATTCTGCTATTCTGCATTACTCAAATCTTTCAGAACACAAGAGCGAAGGAGGTCACATAAATGTTAGTATTTCTAAGCCAGACAGCTAAGAAACACTACTTAATGGGCACTATTTAGATTTTTTTATGGTGGCTCTCTTTTGCTTTCATTTTTTCTTTGTTTTTCTTTCATTTTTTTATTCCATTTCTTAAGAGAACCACCATCTCTGCACATTTTTCAAACACCTGCCCAACTTATTAAGAACTACCTCCAACTCTCACATTATATTTAGCAGAAACGGCAGAGTACATGCAAAAAACCACTCTGTGGAACCTTCTAAGAGATGCAAAAGGGTGATTTTTCATTTCAGACCAAAAGAAAGGGTAACACACGGCTCAAAGGGGCTGACTAGGGGGTATGACACACCAGGACAGTCAATTTGGTCACGGGCTAATCCTATGCCTCCATCATCTTAGCTAATGACAACGTGAATGCTGCACATCATGGAAGAGGGAACTATCGCACAAGAAAGAAACGAGAAGGCTCAAATCTCACATGGCTACCTATATGCTCTATCTCTCGTTCTGATTCCCTGAACTAGATGCATAAATGACTGTCAACAGCAAGTGATCAATCCAAGTCACCATTGGTAAGCAAACAATTGAAAAACTGAACTCCTACACAGTTCTACTGCACATCTCAGTCATCATAATAAGCCGTCTTAGTCACACTCAAGTTGTCATGCATCAAGTCAAAAGCCATTCAATTCACTAATCACATCCACAATGCCAATACGATCAAACATCAAGCAAACAGCAGTGCTTGGAGCCCTCAAATCTCGAGATTTGGATAGTGGACTAGGCTCCAAGCACACAAACAGATCTAATGCAGTCAAAAGATAAACATCCCCCCACACTTAAGGTCGACATTGCCCTCAATGGAGAAGAGGGAAGGATAAGGGAAACGATGTTACCGGTGTGCACGGACTACATGAGACTGGAAGCGGACCCGTCGAGTGAAGCGAACTGGAGAGGGACCAGTCTGGAACAAAGCACAGCTAAAGGGGAACAAAAGAGCTCAAACACAATATGTGAGGTCCAATGGTCAGCCCAATAATACATCATCCAAAACAAAAGAAAACAAACCAAAACCAAACCGGTTTACAATCCGACTCAAAACACAAGAAAGAGATTAAAACCGTGGCGGGGTTGCCTCCCCACAAGCGCTTCTTTACCGTCTTTTAGCTGGACGCCCATGGTGAATACTCAGCGAGGTGCAGGAACAGGTGCCTCCAAGAGCGGATCCACGTCGCTCTTGAGGTACAGCTTCAGGTTGTGGCCATGCACCCGACGGGTGCGACCACCAGCATTGGTCAGCTCGACCTGGCCATCCGGCAGGATGCAAGCGAGTGAGTACTCGGATAGCCAGGGTGGTCGTGGTGCAGGAGGTGGACCCAACTCGTAGTGGTCTCCACCTTTCTTCCGTGCAGGCTTAGCAACCTGCTGCTTTGGCCGCCACTCCTCCTTGATCTTTTTGTTCGGAGGCGAGACTGGATGGAGTGGCGGCGAAGGAGTTAGAGGAGGATCCTGCAAAATGAGAGATGCAGAAGGATACACGACAGACTCGTGTACCTGGTCAGAAATGGCATGCACAGGTGTGACATCAATCATAGCATAGTGATCGAATTCAGTCACAGAAAAAGTAGCCTGTTCATTCCCAGCACGTAGGATCAGTTTACCATCGTGCACATCAATA